TCAATCAAGCGAGTCCAGCTGACGCCTACAGACAACGAGTATGGTTACCACGATGATGGTGCCTCAACGACTTCGGCGTCGCCCTCGTCACTGCTACAACTGCACTAAGCAACGGTCCGGTATGGGGTCACTGATTGGTCAGCAACAAATGAATGCCCTTAGAGCAGTCCTGGCAGTACTTTTGGAGTAAGGACTCGACGACGATGCCAGTGGCTCGTCAGAACTAAGCGTAGTTCGACTGTAATTTGACAATCGTCGCAGCAAAGACGAATTATTCAGCCAGTCAGCGAGTTTTGCATTCCATGTTCAAGTTCAGGCCCATCTAATGGGATCATTGAGTCGAATTAGCATAAGTCAAAATATCTACCGAGTCTCGATAAAACATAAATTCAGTTTTTTCCTCGCACAGGTATCTAACCACAGTGACGACGAAGCACAGGGCACAAGGCACTTGTCATCTCTGCGACGTCTTCTTCGTGAGTCAGAAAGAACTACACCGCATCGTCCGGTACTCAATGAGTCAATAAAACGACAAAATGGGTCAGACTGACGTCGTTTTGCGGCCTGTCACATAAATGTGATCGATGTCGTCGATAGCGGTCGACATTCAGACAAAAGGTGCTCACGTCTATTAAAATTTTTCTATCTTGAACATTAAAAAATAGGGGCCCTCCCATAAGAGCAACCGTCAATTCCATTCAAGGCTATGAAAGGTCATAAAGCAAGGAAATCCAGTTTGAATCATAGTCATCGTCGTCATTCTCATCCCTCTCCCACGTCTTCCTTCCTCTCATCACCATCGTTATCATCAGCACCCTCTTTTGCCTTCTCCGCCTCCTCCTCTTCCTTTTGACATTTTTTCATCCGCTTTTTCCATATACATCTCTTTCTCGTCCTCATTGTCGTATGGTCACTTCTATCTTCAGGTTTACTACGATTCGGCAAATAATTCTACCGCTTCTTTTCGGACATCCCATTTGGAAGTACAAGTATGGTTTCGATCTGAGGCAAAGATCTTAACTTAATAGCTGTACCGGTTCCTTTACCACATCCTGCGCAATGAATTGATTGCACCTGTTTTATTCAGTTTTGTTAATATATTCCAGTTCTTTCTCACTGCCATTTATATATTTTAATAA